AATCCGTTGCTCCTGAATAACCCTCTGTAAGCATCAACTGAAACCTTTTTCTTTGATTTGCTTACCTTGCGCACCCATGAGCCCTTGCCCCTGAATCCCTTGCCCCTGAATAAACTTCTCTAAGCATCATCTATAACTTTATTATTTTATTTTCAGGTATAAGGTTTGTTTTGTGCAACCCCTTTCCCTCGAAGAAGCCTCTCTGGAAGCATTGGAAGCCTCATTGTGTTGCTTTCGAATAGCAGGTTTGTCTCACCAGGACGTAAGTTTCTGATGAATGTTTAGGGTTTCATCGAGTTTAGGGTGTTTTATGAAATCTGCGTTGTAGGGTTCTTTCTGAGGAATAGTTGAGTTTTCCAATTTTGATGTGGTTCTGTGTTCACATGCACTTTGTTTTCACTTTGGATATCTTTTTGTAATGGGTGGTGCTATGTTGGGAGGTGCTAAAAAGTCAGGTGTTTGACTTCTATTTGGCATAAAGCACATGGTGTTTTCATGGGAAGGTACTGAGTCAACAATCAGCTGTATTTAGTGACTCTAGATTTAGTTTTAGTCGTAAACAAGAAATTGAATGAAGTCAAAGAATTGATTCGTTCCAATTATTGCTGAACATTTTCAATGATTTGATTCTTCAGCTGAAACATTCGGTGAATATATATATTAACTATTCAGTGGAAAATGAGGATTGTCAAAATTCAAAGAGTACTATAGAAAAGTTCTGAAACAGTAACTTGTTATTTGTCCATTCCTTTTCTTAGGTTAACTATAGAAAAAATAAGGGTTCTTTGTCCTTAGCTTATGCCTTGTTCTAATCCTTTTAGGAGATATTATTTGAATTGAGAGTTGTTCTTCAGTACTGAATTTGACTTTACACAATATGAATACATTTGCAGGGGATCAAAGATATTTGGGTCTTTTGTGTCTTTTATGAAGAGCAAGGATTCAAATGATGGAACAGAGCAAGCTTTGGTTTCTGAATTGAGTGCTTTGGATGACCATCTTAAGGCCCACGTACATATGTGAATTTATAATAAACTAATTTTATTTTTGTTAATTTTTTTTTTTTTGTAATTGCTAATTATCGATGCTAATATGCTGGTGGCATGGCCAGGGTCCATATGTTGCTGGGGAGAAAGTCACTGTTGTTGATCTGAGTTTGGCACAAAAACTGTACCATCTAGTGATAACACTTGGCCACTTCAAGAGTTGGAGTGTTCCTGAAAGTTTGGCACATGTCCGCAACTACACCAAGGTATGCAGTTGTTTTCTGCGATGCATGTACTCTTTTGGAATTTACTTAGGTATGTCTTTTTCTTTGCTATTGAACAATGACATTGATTGGTATTTGGTGATTAAAATTTTCTGTGGTCAAACTTGTCATCCCAATATGCTTAAAATTTGTTTAAAACGACTCAAGTATCCCTTTAAACCGTCTGAAAAGAAAAAAGACTAAAGTAAACAAGTGAACGTAAGTGGAAAAGACTGGTCGTTTGGTTTAAGAAAAAACTTGTTTACCAATAAAGAAGTCTAATCCTGATTGTGCATGACAAAAATACTGTGCTACGGCCTACAGTGCACAAAAGGAAATCTATTTTTCTCTTATGAATTGATCCTGCATTGAGTAACATAAATCTCTAATTTTCTCCTCAAATAATATTTGAAACAT